CAGGATGGTCTCGATCTCCTGACCTCGTGATCCACCCGTCTCGGCCTCCCAAAGTGCTGGGATTACAGGCTTGAGCCACCGCGCCCGGACAATTAATTGTTTATTTAGAGACAGTGTCTCGCTCTGTCTCCCAGGCTGGAGTGCAGTGGCGCTATCTCGGCTCACTGCAAGCTCCGCCTTCCGGGTTCATGCCATTCTCCTGCCTCAGCCTCCCGAGTAGCTGGGACTACAGGCGCCCACCACCACGCCCGGCTAATTCTTTTGTGTATTTAGTAGAGATGGGGTTTCACCGTGTTAGCCAGGATGGTCTCGATCTCCTGACCTCATGATCTGCCTGCCTTGGCCTCCCAAAGTGCTGGGATTGCAGGCGTGAGCCACCGTGCCTGGCCAAATTTTTTATTTTTAGTAGAGATGGGGTTTCTCCATGTTGCCCAGGCGTCTCGAAATTCTGGACTCACGTGATTGGCCCACCTCAGCCTCCCAAAGTGCTGGGGTTACAGGTATGAGCCACTGTGCCCAGCCAGAAACTGCTTTTTGTTTTGTTTTTTAGACAAAGTCTCACTCTGTCGCCCAGGCTGGAGTGAAGTGGCGCAATCTTGGCGCACTGCAAGCTCCGCCTCCCAGGTTCACGCCATTCTCCTGCCTCAGACTCCCGAGTAGCTGGGACTACAGGCGCCCGCCACCACGCCCAGCTTACTTTTTGTATTTTTTAGTAGAAATGGGGTTTCACCGTGTTTGGATGGTCTCGATCTCCCGACCTCGTGATCCACCCACCTCGGCCTCCCATAGTGCTGGGATTACAGACATGAAATTGCCCAGCCCAGAAATTGCTTTTTAACCACCTGCTGCTGAGTACTGCCACTTGGATGCCCAGGTCCACGTTAATAATTACAGAATGGTGGTTAACACAGCATCTTCATCACCTGAGCTCTGTCCCGTTAAGAGCCTTCCCGCTTCCTCCCTTTTTTGCCTCCCAGCCAGAATGATCTGTGCCTTTCACAAAGACCATCTCTGTGCATCCATGCCTCCTCCTCAGCACCACTGCGAGAAACTGCCTCAGCCACTGTCATCCACCAAGGCTCCAAAGTAACCCTCTGTGAAGCTTTGCCAACCACCTCCTTTGGGTCCTGCTAACCTACCCTCTGTTTCATGACACTTAAGACACTGGGAGCTAAGAGGTCATTGGTATGTCTGTCTCTCCCATGGACTAAGCTGTCAGAGAACAGAGACTGTCTCATTCCTGGCTACCAACACCTGCTAGACAGCAGGAACTCAATAAAAATGGGGTGAACTGACCTGCTGGCTTGACTGGTCAGTGTTTACCTGAGCAAGATGATGTCATCTGACTCACCCCAGCGCCCCACTGCCTCTCAGGCACTAACCTTGTTCTTACGTCCATCAATCTCAAAGAAGGAGATGGTGCCCTTGCGGTAAATCTCATTGCCTGGAGGATGTCGTAGGTCGCACTTGGTCTGGAGAAGAGAGGACGGTCAGGAACAAGGGCAACTTGGAGGGTGCTCGGAAGGCAGCCTCCCTGGACCCCTCATACCAAGTGACGCTGAAGACACTTGAGGCTACGGCCGTACTTGAGGCAGAACTCGCACAGGTAGAGAACAGGCAATGTGGTGAGCTCCTGTGGGTACGGGGAGAAGTACCACGGCTTGAGGCGGTGCCGGCCCAGCTCAATGCACTCGATGTTCTTCATCCGGGTGACGATGTCGTCGTGGCTTCGGTCAGACACCAGGCTGCCAGTCATGCGTGGTGCTGATGGTATTCCATCTGAGCTGTCCTGGGAGTCCTGCCCAGGGCCAGTGGAAAATACCAGGTTAGAAGAGACAGCTCAGCAGGACACCACAGCTCACAGCCCTTTGACAGGTTTCCTGCAAGCCTAACAGCAACCCTATGGGGGAGGTACCATGATCCCCAATTTCTGGATAAAAAACCTGAAACCCTAAGGGATTGATGTGGAAAAGATCACTGAATGACCCTTGTTTTTGAGATGGAGTCTCACTCCGTCGCCCAGGCTGGAGTGCAGTGGCATGATCTTGGCTCACTGCAACTTCTACCTCCGGGGTTCAAGCAATTCTTCTGCCTCAGCTTTCTGAGTAGCTGGGATTATAGGCGCCTGCCACTACGCCTGGCTAATTGTTGTATTTTTATTAGAGACAAGGTTTCACCATGTTCGTCAGGCTGGTCTTGAACTCCTGACCTCAGGTGATCTGCCCGCCTTGGTTGGCCTCCCAAAGTGCTGGGATTACAGGTATGAGCCATGGCACCCAGCCCCAATGACTCATTTGAACCATGTTCTGCCTGGCTCCTAATCCCACCAACACTAGCCCCACCTACCACCCCTTCTTTATTTTTAAACTCATCACTAACTCTCCACCCTGCTTGCATCCCTTCCTTTTCACCCAGCTCCTTCTGTTGCTCCCCAGACCCACCTCATCAGTGCCCAAACAATTCGATTTTCGCTTCCGTCCTGGCTGGGCTGCCACTGCCCTACGGGCTGCTCCATTCTGCAGATATAGTAGTAAAAGAAGGGATGGCTGTGAGATGAGCCTGAAAAAGGCCACCAGAGAGTAGAAGAGAGAAAGGGAACAAGAAATGGTTTGGGAAACTCACCTGGGGAAAAACCGAGGCCGGGGCTGTCTCGCTGGGCACTGGAGTTGCTGGTGAAACCACCTCCACCTTCCGTTTCTGCAGAGAGAAACCAACAAAGGTGGGTCAGAAGGTAGAGAAGGTGGGACCTGAGAAGAAAGCAAGGTCCCTGGAATTGCTGAGGGTACCGTTGAGCGGTGGTTGGGCTGCAGGCAGGAGCTGGAGGAGAGCGGCTGGTCAGGCTCGCCACCGGGAATGGCCTCCCGCTCCTTGGGCAGGTTGAAGCGGAGTGTGATCTGGACCGGGATTGGCAAGGTCTTCCCGCTTGCCTGGGCCGAGGCCGGCTGTAGAGATAGGTCCAGGGTCTTCCTCTGGGGCGGGGATGGCAGTGGAATGGGGAAGGGGAACAGGGATCCCTCAGCTCAAAATTATCAAACCCCACCCTCGCCTTCTGAAGGACACAGGACTAGCTACTGGACTCTGGGAGCTACATGTGCAATTCGGCCCCCATCCTTTGCAAGATGAAGTCAGGGTGAGAGGGAGCCGCCTACTGCCCATCCAGGAGCCCCTAATGCCAACAGATAAGAGAAACACGAGGCAGGAGAGAAGAGGTGAAGTGGGGGACCTACTCACCACCTCTCTCTCTGGAGAGCCGGGACGGGACCCAGGAAGTCCGTTCTTGGTGGGGGTCTTGGCCTCTTTCTTCGGGAACTGGATCTTCTTTAGGTCCAGCCGCTCGTGCGTCACCCATTCATCCAGACGTTTGTTGACTGCAGCAGTGGGGATGGCTCAGGACAGAATGCCAAAGACTGTTCCCCAACCCTACCCTGATGCCCCACCTCAGGCCCAGAACTCACAGTCAATGTAATGGACGTAGAAAAGCTTCCGGCCACTGATGTCCTTCACGCTCAGGATCTCGGCCAGGGCTATGGGAATAGCATAGGCAGGGGCCTTAGACGGGCCGGGCCAGGCTATGAGACTCCACCCTTCCACGACCTGAACTCCACCCCAAGGCTGGATCCCTAAGCTCCAGCACTTAGACGGTCTCTCCTAAGCCGCCTCCAGTCACTACTGCCACCCCTTTCCAGGCCCCGCCCTGTACCTCTCGGAGCAGCTAAGAGCCACGCCCCTTCATGGGAGTATCTGCGCCCCGCCCGCCCTATAATTCCAGAGGCCCCTCCCCATCCCGGGGGTTCAGTTGACTCCCTCCCGCCCCTCGCCCTCAGGTTCCTTAGCCCCGCCCCCCAACGTCACTCACGCCACTCATCTTCGTTGTCCTGGTTCCGCCGCAGCACGGGTAGGCGGCAGCCCTCGATTATCTCCCCCTGGGGAGACAGCGCGGCGCCAGGGTCGGCTACTGGGGGGCCTCGGGCTCTACCCACCTCCCCTGGCTCCCTCCGCCCCGCCCCGGGCACCGGACTCACCACCTCCGCCATCTTCCCTCCCTCCACTGCCACTTCCGGCCCCTGTGGGAGACGTCACTTCCGGGACCGAGCCCGCTGTAGGCCCGGGCCTCACGAAGCCCCTGTAGAGGGGGACCTTTGAGAGACACCGCGACCCAGTTGCAAGGGGCAAGACTGCCCCTGTGACTCCTGGGAAAACGGAGTATTACAAGCCTCAGGCCGAGCCCTAGGTGGAAACCCCACAACGGGCACAGCGATTGGAGAACTACTGAGTCTGTCACGTGACGCCCACCGGGTGCGACGCTGTTCACGTGGATGCGGAGCGGGTCACGTGGCAATACCGTTTGGGCTTTGACGGAGGGCAGTCCTCGGGCGTCTCCTTGTGGCGGCGGGAGGTGTTGTCGGGAGTGAACTGCGCGGGAGAGACTGGAGAAAGGAAGTGGGCTTAGAGGGGGCTCGAACGCTCCCCCAGGTCTGTGGACTTCATTCCGTAGGCAGGAGGACTCAGGGAAGATTTCTAGCTTTATTTCGTGTATTAGGCTTCTTTTATTTTTGAGACGGAGTCTCGCTCTGTCGCCAGGCTGGAGTGCAGTGGCGCCATCTCGGCTCCCTGCAACCTCCGCCTCCCGGGTTCAAGCGATTCTCCTGTCTCAGCCTCCGGAGTACCCAGCTAATATTTGTATTTTCAATAGAGGCGGAGTTTCACCATGTTGGCCAGGATGGTCTGGATCTCTTGACCTCGTGATCCGCCCGCCTCGGCCTCCCAAAGTGCTGGGATAACAGGCGTGAGCCAGGGCGCCCAGCCATATTAGGCTTTTTTTTTGAAGCAAGGTCTGTGTGGCCCAGGCTGGAGTGCAGCGGGGGAGACATAATCTCCGCTCACTGCAGCTTCCGCCTCCCTGGATCAAGTGATCCACCTCAGGCTCCTGAGTAGCTGGGACTACAGGCGCGCACTACCAAGGCTGGCTAATTTTTAAAATTTTTTGCGTAAACAGGATTTGGAGACTGGACATGGTGGCTCACACCTGAAATCCCAGCTACCTCCAGCCTAATCATGAGAAAAAGATCAGACAAATACCAATTGAGAAACATTCTACAAAATACCCCATGAATACTCCTCAGAACTGTGAAGATGTCACCGGTGGAGGGTGTCCAGATTCTTGGCATCTTAAAGAATTGGACAAAACGGCTGGGCGCGGTGGCTCACGCCTGTAATCCCAGCACGTTGGGAGGCCGAGGCGGGCGGATCACGAAGTCAGGAGATCGAGATCATCCTGGCCAACACGGTGAAACCCTGTCTCTACAAAAAAAAAAAAAAAAGATACAAAAAATTAGCCGGACGTTTTGGCGGGCATCTGTGGTCCCAGCTACTCGGGAGGCTGAGGCAGGAGAATGGCCTGAACCCGGGAGGCGGAGTGTGCAGTGAGCCGAGATCATGCCACTACACTCCAGCCTGGCTGACAGAGCGAGACTCTGTCTCAAAAAAAAAAAACAAAAAGAAGAAAAAAAGAATTGGTCAAAACGCACAAAGCAAGGAAGGAATGAACGATTTATTGAAAATGAAAGTACACTCCAATGTGGGGGCCGGCTGAGCATAGGGGCCAGTTACAGGATTTGTTGGAGTTTAAATACTCTTGGTTACTTGGGATACGCCCTGTGTAAATGAAGAGGATGAAGTAAAGTTACAAAGTCATTTAGGGTGTACGCCCTAAGGAGAGGATATTTCCTGTCATAACTGAAATGTGAGTCGGCCTTGTATGTTGCCTGCCTCCAGACCCTATTTTCCTGCCTCAAAGGTGGCTGAACATGGTGGCTTACGCCTGCAATCCCAGTGTTAGCAGGAAAGGGCCTATCCAGACCCCAAGAGAGGGTTCTTGGATCTCACACAATAGAGAATTCAGGGCGAGTCCAGCACTTTAGGAGGCTGAGGCAGGTGGATAACCTGAGGTCAGGAGTTCAAGACCAGCCTGACCAACATGATGAAACCCCATCTCTACTAAAAATACAAAAATTAGGCAGGCGTGGTGGTGCCCGCCTGTAATCCCAGCTACTCGGGAAGCTGAGGCAGGAGAATCACTTGAACCCGGGAGGTGGAGGTTGCAGTGAGCATGATCGCACCACCAGCACTCCAGCCTGGGGACAGAGCAAGACTCCGTCTCAAAAAAAAAAAAAAAAAAA